TATTAAGCTTCAAACTCCTTGTCGCAATCAAAGCCGACACAAATATCGTGCTCCAATCGCGCGTTCTTCCATACCGTAGTTGTTTTCGCTGCGGGTGCGCCAGCCTGCCGCGCGATGTCGCGTTGCGAAGAGCGAAAAAGTCGCGTTCTGTCCTAAGTACCCACACCCTGTTTTGAGCAGCCCGATGCCGGGCTCGAGCCAATAGTGAGGCGGAATTGTTGGTCTCTCGCTTCTCCAGCTCTTCGTACAATCCATATTATTCCTTATTTCACATTTGCGCATTCTTCGCGAGTATTATTCAAACACAATGCACTATCTACCATCACTATATGCATCGTCATATCGGTGTCTTATTGCTATCCATTGACCGATGCGTCAATGTCCTGCTCCAACAAGGTTGAGGGTTTCGAGTTGAAAAGACGGTGGAATTGATTTCGAGATTTCTCTGGTAATCCTAAGTAGCACCAAGGACTTTCGACCCTGGCCGGTAACTTTCTTTAGCTGCACATGTCACTGTACTCACTTTCATTTGCGAGGTCAGGATCTATAAAACCTTCCGCAATTCTTGCATGAAAATATTTAGGATTTGCATTACTGGAGAACATACAAAGAATTTCCATGGTCGCTTACCTGATTATAAGCCGCTTGATTGGTTCCGAAATTGCTCATGTCACCTACGATAAGGCAGGACAGTTTTTTTCCAGGCACCTCTAAAAAGAAGAAAATGGTTTGTGTTCTATAATATTTATTTCAATTGGAATTTAATCGCACATAAAAATGTATAGTGAGCTTGCACCCACTAGACGAATAGCACTGCAATCAGTTGAAAATTATGATATGAGGCTCACGCAGTTTTTGGGCTATTACGTATACTCTATTTCGAAAGACGAGAAAAAATCGAGTGCAGACCACACATCATAAGAGACGACGACCAAGAGAAAAGCGACTTTTTTTCTTGCCGTCGTCTCTTATGGTGTGTGGTCTGCACTCGAATTCTTCTCGTCTTCCGAAATCGAGGGCAATTTCATCATTATTGTAGTTTCAATGTGTACAAAAAGGCACCATACGACGCTCCGGCCGCAAAGTTCTATTGAATACTAGTACTCGAGTGATGGATGGTACTACTGCAGGCGAAGCAACCAACAAAAGATATTTAAACATTCATAATTCAGTGCTTTTCTCAGCAAAATGAGTGCCGATATCGATATCTTGTCATCTCTCGTTTTCTTTCTTGCATGAAAATTACCACGCTATTTATTTATTTACATCCTCTAGAGTGACACTGCTGAGATTGTTGCAAAACTCCAGTATTTGGCGAAGTGAAGCTGAAATCGCAATGATACTTGCTTAGAGATATCGAACTAGCAAGCCTTGCTAGCGCGCGAAAGTGGTGGATGCACGGCAAGAATTGTTGCAACATTTTTCTTGTAGAGCATGTTTACCTGTTGTCGATGGCACAGTAGTCGTAGAAGAAGTAGGCTCCATTTTTGTAGAAGTGGATGCGACCGTTGAAGGCGGCCGCTCAGTTGTGAATGTTGGCTCTAACACTGGCAACGTCGGAAGAGAAAAGGAAATTGTAGGTGGTTCAGTCGTTATCCAAGATGGCTGTGTAGTAGTCGTCGAATCTGTTGATGTCGTGGAAGTCGAAGGCTCAGATGTCGACGTGCTCTCCGTTCTCATCCAAGGTGGCTCTATAGAAGTCGTCGAATCTGTTGATGTCGTATAAGTCGAAGGCTCAGATGTCGACGTGCTCTCCGTTCTCATCCAAGGTGGCTCTATAGAAGTCGTCGAATCTGTTGATGTCGACGACTTCTATAGAGCCACCTTGGATGAGAACGGAGAGCACGTCGACATCTGAGCCTTCGACTTATACGACATCAACAGATTCGACGACTTCTATAGAGCCACCTTGGATGAGAACGGAGAGCACGTCGACATCTGAGCCTTCGACTTATACGACATCAACAGATTCGACGACTTCTATAGAGCCACCTTGGATGAGAACGGAGAGCACGTCGACATCTGAGCCTTCGACTTATACGACATCAACAGATTCGACGACTTCTATAGAGCCACCTTGGATGAGAACGGAGAGCACGTCGACATCTGAGCCTTCGACTTATACGACATCAACAGATTCGACGACTTCTATAGAGCCACCTTGGATGAGAACGGAGAGCACGTCGACATCTGAGCCTACGACTTATACGACATCAACAGATTCGACGACTTCTATAGAGCCACTGGCTGAGAAACGGGAGAGCCGATTCGACATCTTGAGCCTTTTTTTTTCGGGACTAAAAATTTAAAAAAAAACGACATTAACAGATTCGACGAACTTTCTATAGAGCCACCTTGGATGAGAACGGAGAGCACGTCGACATCTGAGCCTTCGACTTATACGACATCAACAGATTCGACGACTTCTATAGAGCCACCTTGGATGAGAACGGAGAGCACGTCGACATCTGAGCCTTCGACTTATACGACATCAACAGATTCGACGACTTCTATAGAGCCACCTTGGATGAGAACGGAGAGCACGTCGACATCTGAGCCTTCGACTTATACGACATCAACAGATTCGACGACTTCTATAGAGCCACCTTGGATGAGAACGGAGAGCACGTCGACATCTGAGCCTTCGACTTATACGACATCAACAGATTCGACGACTTCTATAGAGCCACCTTGGATGAGAACGGAGAGCACGTCGACATCTGAGCCTTCGACTTCCACGACATCAACAGATTCGACGACTTCTATAGAGCCACCTTGGATGAGAACGGGAGAGCACGTCGACATCTGAGCCTTCGACTTATACGACATCAACAGATTCGACGACTTCTATAGAGCCACCTTGGATGAGAACGGAGAGCACGTCGACATCTGAGCCTTCGACTTATACGACATCAACAGATTCGACGACTTCTATAGAGCCACCTTGGATGAGAACGGAGAGCACGTCGACATCTGAGCCTTCGACTTATACGACATCAACAGATTCGACGACTTCTATAGAGCCACCTTGGATGAGAACGGAGAGCACGTCGACATCTGAGCCTTCGACTTATACGACATCAACAGATTCGACGACTTCTATAGAGCCACCTTGGATGAGAACGGAGAGCACGTCGACATCTGAGCCTTCGACTTATACGACATCAACAGATTCGACGACTTCTATAGAGCCACCTTGGATGAGAACGGAGAGCACGTCGACATCTGAGCCTTCGACTTATACGACATCAACAGATTCGACGACTTCTATAGAGCCACCTTGGATGAGAACGAGAGCACGTCGACATCTGAGCCTTCGACTTATACGACATCAACAGATTCGACGACTTCTATAGAGCCACCTTGGATGAGAACGGAGAGCACGTCGACATCTGAGCCTTCGACTTATACGACATCAACAGATTCGACGACTTCTATAGAGCCACCTTGGATGAGAACGGAGAGCACGTCGACATCTGAGCCTTCGACTTATACGACATCAACAGATTCGACGACTTCTATAGAGCCACCTTGGATGAGAACGGAGAGCACGTCGACATCTGAGCCTTCGACTTATACGACATCAACAGATTCGACGACTTCTATAGAGCCACCTTGGATGAGAACGGAGAGCACGTCGACATCTGAGCCTTCGACTTATACTACATCAACAGATTCGACGACTTCTATAGAGCCACCTTGGATGAGAACGGAGAGCACGTCGACATCTGAGCCTTCGACTTCCACGACATCAACAGATTCGACGACTTCTATAGAGCCACCTTGGATGAGAACGGAGAGCACGTCGACATCTGAGCCTTCGACTTATACGACATCAACAGATTCGACGACTTCTATAGAGCCACCTTGGATGAGAACGGAGAGCACGTCGACATCTGAGCCTTCGACTTATACGACATCAACAGATTCGACGACTTCTATAGAGCCACCTTGGATGAGAACGGAGAGCACGTCGACATCTGAGCCTTCGACTTATACTACATCAACAGATTCGACGACTTCTATAGAGCCACCTTGGATGAGAACGGAGAGCACGTCCACATCTGAGCCTTCGACTTATACTACATCAACAGATTCGACGACTTCTATAGAGCCACCTTGGATGAGAACGGAGAGCACGTCCACATCTGAGCCTTCGACTTC